TGTATTCATCTCAGATGCCCATTTTTGGATTGGGTCTTTGAATTTGGGGAGTCTGACTTTTTTCAATTCTTTATATGCTCTAGATATAAGTTCTTTGACAGACAACTGGCTATAAAAGTGGGCTGTCATTTCACTTTGGTGGTGATTTTCTTTATTGTGCAAAAGCTTTTTAATAAGGTGAGATCCCATTTGTTGATTCTTTGTAGTATTTCCCTTGCAGTCTGGATTTTGTTCATGAAGTCTCTGTCTACACCTATGTCTTCAAGATTTCCACCTATTTTCTCTTCCAGTAAATTTAGTGTTTCTATTTTAATATTTAATCTCTGATCCATTTTGACTTTAGTGTATGGTGACAGACATGGGTACAGTTTTAGTCTTCAGCATGCAGAGAGCCAGTTTTTCTAGCACCATTTATTAAAGAGGCTATCTTTCTTCCAGTGAACATGTTTGGCTCCTCTGTCAACGATAAGGTGGTTGGGTCTGTTTGGGGTTGCGTTTGCATCTTCTATTCTGTTCCACTGATCCTCAGGCCTGTTTTTTTTGCCAATATCATGCTGATTTTATCACAGCAGCTTTGTAGTGTAATTGTAGGTCTGGGACTATGATGCCCCCTGCCTTGCCTTTGAGACCTGCCCTAGATTGCTGGTTCCAGATGAATTTTAGGAATGTTTTCTCTAGTTCTGTGAGGTATGCTAATGCTATCTGACTAGGGTTGCACTGAATCTGTATAACAGGTTTGGGAGCATGGCCATTTTCACTATGTTGGTTCTTCCTATCTAACAGCAAAGGATATCTTTCCATTTTCTGATATCCTCTTCGGTCTCCTTTTATAGGGTATGTTAATTTTCACTGTACAGACCTTTTACATCCTTTCTTAGACTGAGTCCTAAGTATTTCAGTTTTTTTAGATGCTACTGTAAAAGGTGTGCTTTCCCTAGTTTCTCTCTCTCTGAATTTTATAATCTCATTATTAATAATGTTAAGTAATAGTCAAAAGGAAAAAGTTTCTTTTAGCGATAGCTGACAGACTCAAACACGAGAAAGTAGTTTGTAAATGTCTCTCAGGAAATGATCCAGTTTAGCCAGACCTTTTTCTGTCCCTGTGCTCTGTGGCAGGATTTCTAAGAGTTGGTTAACAAATGTCAATTTCGACTCTTCAGATGAAATCTGCTCTGTATCTCTTTTGTTATGATTATTTAGCCTTTTATTGGTTAGCAGTTAAAAATCCGGCCAGGTATAATGCTACACGCCTGTAGTCCCAGCTCCTTGGGAGGCTGGAGCGGGAAGTTAACTTGAGCACAGGACTGTAAGAACAGCGTGGGCGAAACAGAGATCTTGGTCTCCAAACAAGAAACAGTTAGAATTCCGCCTGTGTAGAAGTTCCTGTCCCAGAGGCTTGCCGTCATCCTGACTGGGGCGGGCAGGTGGCTCGGCTGAGGCGCACTTGCCGAGCGTGCACAAGGCCCTGAGTTCCATTCCGGTACCAGGAAAAAGGACTGTGCTTCAAGGTACTCACTGGAACACTTAGGATCAAATAGGACAAAAATAAACACAAAATCCAAGGATCACACAGGCTTTGCGGTTAAATTAGCATTAAAAAAGGATCTCTGGTTTCCAGGTGAAGGCCGACTTTGTTTTTTGATGTAGAAATCAATGTCATGTGACTTCCATTACCCTTCACCGCAAAAGTTACATAAAGTTGCTACTATGACAGCATGTAGTTTTCTGCCCAGTGAATTAAAACACCAATAATCCTCAGGAACTGCTTGTTCCTGGTGTTTCGGTTAATGTATTTACAATGCTGAAGAACTGCTGCTCTTTCTATGAGGGCACACTTCATTTCATTTTACAAAAATATTTATTTTATACACTAAATTTTTACTTGTAGTTGACACAATAATTGTACGTATTTATGGAGCACAGTGCTATTAGTAGTATACGCTTGTGATACATGATAAATACAGATTTACCGTGGTACTAGAACACCGACATCATTTTATCTGTGGTGCCTACACATTTTCTCTTTTGTGTATCTGAGTGTTTGAAAGAGCAACCTTGTGTTTTACCTTTAGCTCTTTGCCTCTCGGACCCTGTGACTCTGTTTCGCACAGGGACTGGCCTTTTCCTCCTACTATAAAGAATGAGCGCTCGGGTGGCACTCCAGGATGGGTGTGGCTGACCTTCACAGGATGAGACCTGTCTCTAGATGGGATGTGTCGGGAACGGCATGTGATGAAAAGCGGGCTGCAGGCTCCACGGCCGGGCCCCTATCCAGGAGGCAGAGGTAGCGGGTAAGGAGACCCCCAGGGTAGCTACCGCTTCCTCCCAGCATGCTCGGCCCTGGAGCTGCCGCATCAGTCAGATCACAAGGCAGCTGGCTGGGCGGGTCAGCGGAGTGAAACCCAGGACACTGCAGTCCCCAAGCCGGCCTCTGGAGCAGGCTGCACTGGCCCAGAGGAGGCACCTTTCTGAAATTCACCTTTTGGAGGGCACTCCGGTTTGCAGCTGCCGCAGAACGTATGCATATCCTCTCGTGTCTAGCAATGCTGGGCTCATATACTGTTCCTGACCATTTCTGTGTCTCCCTAAGTGCCTGGTTAGCAGTAAATACTGAATACGTGCAGATTACGTTTAAATGAATGAATACCAGCAATCATTAAAACAAGACTCTTTTCTACCCTATCAGGTTACTGCTGCAAAGAAGAAAACAGGCCATTTCGGGTAGGCAAACGGCAGGGTTCTCATTTAGATGCAGTGGCTTCCGCTTTCAAAGGAAGCCAAAGCCGCTGACTGAAAAAGGACGAAGGCCAGGGAAGGGGCAGGAGGGGTCCTAAAGGGGGAGTGTGGGGTGCAGGGCCCAGCGTGGCCAACCCGCTGAGAGGACACACTGACTGGAAGTCAGAGCACAGGTGGTCTGGCACACGCCTACACAACACCACTGACAGCTGCATCGGTTCTCGTCCGTTACTTTAAAACTGCATAAAGATATTTAGGCCGACAAAGTACTTGGAAATCTTTCATGACAAAAATTTCGGGACCAGGCAAATAAAAACCTGTTCTCATTCTGATCACCACACTTCTTTTTTTTTAATGGCACAAGAAACATTTGACCTTTGAAGTCTTTTGTGGATGTTTAACCAATCTTTACTGAAATCCCACACACCAAGCCCTGTCACAGGACTGCAGACGCGGACCTGAGCAGGACGTCGGTTTTGCCTCCCTCAGAGCTGAGACTGTACTGGGAGCAGAGACACTAATAAGCCAGTGAGCGACATAGTATATATTAGCACTATGTCAGGAGGCTAATAAGGTAAGGAGCGAGAAAGGCCCTTGACCACAGAGGGGGAAGCGGAGAACTTCATAAACTCTGGGGCAACCCATCAGAATGATTTACTTCCAACAGCACAATTTTCCTTGGCACCCCAGTGCCGTTTGATCACCTGTCTTTTCACACTGATACATCTGTGCGAGGGGGTTTCCTCTTAGTCGCTGACAAGGCCACGATACCCTCTGGGGTGGGCACGCCTCGCCAGGCACAGGCCTCTGAGCACATCCTGGTATCTGTTTACCCTGGATCCACGCCCAGGGGCACAGATGCTGGCTCTGTCAGGCAAAACCTGTCATGCGGTAATGCTTATTTCTTCCTTGAAGATCGCACTTGATTAAAAATCTAAAAAGCTAAGAGACTTTTTAAAAAATAAACAGGAACAACCACCCAGAGGCTGCACACATCTTCTGAGCGTGACAGTTTTTTGCCACACAACCCCAACACTTAGGGATTAATCCGATGGTAGGATTAAAAGTTAACTGCATGTTTCAAAACTAGAAGTAATACCTTCTACTAATTTCCGGTGCTATAAAACAATGTAAAATGTCTTCTGTTTAAGTAACCATGTATACGCTCTGACGGTAGGGAAAGTGACTCTCCCCAGTGTTGAACAATGACTGTTTATTTAGCTTTCTTACTTTAGCCCTCAGCTGTACTTCTGCTGACAGACAGGGCTTACTGCTCCTTGAGTGCCATCAAACTCGTCTTGTACAAATAACCCCAACAGTAAAGTCCTGCGGTAAGTGTATCTGGACTATTAGGCTGGCGATCAGCTTATTTAAAGAGCATCAGTGCTCGTTAACTGAGATGGTCTGTTAACAAGACGTCAGACTTTTACAGCAGACTAAATATTTTGGGTCAACGTGAATAAATGTGTCATCCTGCCAATCAGAGCTTTGTAGAGTGAAATAAGGGTGAAAAGGCAGGTTTCCGGTCCCGGGGACTATTTAGGGAGAAGGCCTTCCCACGGGCGGCTCTGCACAGGGTCCCTTCAGGAACTGGGGCACTGAGTCCCCTTAGCGCCCCGATTCTTAGGTAGAATTCTACACGTGGCGGACCCGTCCCATGGTCCTCAGTCGCTGTAACATTTCCATCCCTCCAGCAGCTGAAGCAGGGACTCGGGGTCCCCCCGACACCTCACTCAGTTGCCTCCACGCTGTATGGACCCCAGGACCTGCTGCTCTGTGTCACAGTACTCCTTCTACCAGTCAACTCCCGTCCACACTGACTGCCCACTCGTCCCGCTGGGGCTCCCTTACCCTGCACGGGCCATCGCCGACGAGGAGCCTGCTCAAGTCAATCCCTCCCGCTGCCCTTGCTAACGTGTCTGTCCTCAGCAGTCAGTGGAAACTATAAACTGGAAATCCACTCTTCCCGTCTGCCTGCAAGATACTGCTTCTCATGATCCTCAAAATGCATGCCAAACCCCTGATAGCATGTACAATGCCCTGCAGACCCTGTGTCTATTTACCTTTCTAATCTCACTGTGGGCCACGGGACTTACCAACCACCAACGCCCCCCGCCCCGGAAATGACAGTGTCGGCAGACTGCCTTTACTGACAATCCTACCAAGGAGGTTTCTGAACAAGTTTCTAGTTTCTGGACACTTTAACGTTTACTAAAATATTGTGACAGTACAGAGAGTCACAGCGTTCCGTCAGTTCCCCTACTGTGAACATCTTACACTGCATGGTACATGTGTCACAGCTAACAAGCCAATGCAGGAAGTGTTATTACGCTAACATGCCCGCCTTGTTCACACTGCCTCGTTCTCATCGCGGGTCCTTTTCTGCTCCAGGACCCCTTCGGGAGCACACGCTACCCGCGGCTGGCATGTCTCCTCGGGCGCTTTGGGCTCTGACAGTTTCCAGGGTGTCTCAGGTATCAGCACAACCTCCCCAGGCTGGTTTTTCTGATGCTGCCCGTAACTGCATCGGTGTCACGGTTTCACGGCAGAGGACTATGGGGGTGCAGGTCCTCACCCCCACCATCAAGGGTACACACTATTCTCATGCCTGGTCACTACGACACTGACCCTGTCCACCTGGCTGAGGTGCTGAGGGCCAGGTTGCTCCACTCTGAGTCCCCCCACCCCCTCCGCACTGTGCTCCTTGGAAGGAAGTCATTCTGCACAGCCCATCCTTCAGGGTGGGGCGTGACACTCCATGGTTATTCAGAATTCCTCTCCTTGGGAAATCTGCCCGTTCTCTTACTTACGTACGCAGTCACTCGTATCAATATGGCCTCGTGGAGCTGCATCTCATACTCTGGTTACACACCAGTGCTGCATTACTTGGCCGCTCCAACAGTGCCAACCCCGGCCTTCGGGAGGTGGCAGCGGCTGCCTGCCTGTCACACACACCATCACACTTGTCTTTCTGGGCCACAGGGTGCTCCAGGCTCCTATTCTATCATCCTTTTGCCAGGCCAAGAAACCATTTCCCCAAAGAGGCCTGGCTCTTTCCACTGGAGAATGCTGTAAACCTAGTAGTATGTGGTGCTAGGCACGCTCGGTGCTCCTAGGACCCACATGGTGCGAGAGCCATGATTAAACTATCGTTACAGATTGCCTGTACTAATCTCCTTCGAGTACGGGGTGACCTTTCGGAGTAGAAGCCGCGATTCTCTGGCTGGTCTGTGAACAAAAATAGTATTTAATGAGCTAGCAGAGCTGGTGCAGGATAATCAGGGCACAAGTGAATGCGTTTTGGTGACTACAAAGCTCCGCAGAAATGTAGTATATGAAGTGATTTTAATCAGCTTACGGTAAAGCCCTGCAGGCTTCTCGCCTCAGCTCTGTGAGTCAGTTGGGAAGGGAGTCTCGGCTGCTGAGAATCGACTCATTTATCTCCTGTTTCTTCTCATCTTATCTGATCTCTGGTCTTTCTAAAAGCTGTCAAATTAAGACTTAGTCAGAAACTGCTTTTCGACAGAGAGCTACAAAAGAAATCTGGATTTCTTTCTGGAAAGGAGCACAGAAATAAAATTGCTTACTATTTACAAATAGTGCCCTAGAATACGAACAGTGCGAGTTTAGCCCTCCTCTTCTCCCCAGCGCCCGGGTCTCTGTGGAAGGCCTAAGGAAGGGAGCGCAAGCGTTGTCACCGGCGGAGGCAGAGACCCCATCACGCGGTCAGGCTTACTGGGCAGCGGTGACAACTTTTCCACCAGGCTGTGCCGGCTAAAAAGCTGTAACCGTGCGGCCAGCTTTGCCAGCCGAGTCAGAAAGGCTCAGAGGAAATCGGACAAAGAAGAGTTTACTGTCGATCAGTGGGTGTCAGGCATGTCTCCTCCATGTCAATGGACGTCTTAGACACTCCCTGCCGGGACAAAACGCCTGGCACCCACACTCTAAACAGGAGCTTTACTTTGGCTCACGTTTCAGAGGTTCCGCCAGCCTTTCCCGGTGGGCGGCACAGCGGCAGGGCCCGGGTGTCAGGAAGCTGCTCCGGGGTGGGGGCGGTGGGGGGGATGGGATGCAGAGAGAGTAAAAGGGGGAGGCTAGAGGAGCTCCGTCCTTCCCGGCCACGCCCCTAGTGACTCGCCTCTGCCACAGACCCCGCCCCCCAGCCCCTGCCTCCTGATGCCGGGCAAGCTAAGCTGCTCCCCTGATCCAATCACAGCCAAACCCCAGGCTTTGCAAGCCAAATATAAGTGTCAACATATTGAGTGTATCCAACAATATTTACATCTTCCTAGAAACAGCTGTAAGAACATTCCATGAAAAATCATGATGGTCATTTCTATTTACAATTAAACTTTCCACAAAAATATTTATATTAAAAAACCTACTACAGCAAAGACATCATGAATAAAACCCATCACATAGGAAATACTACAAAGAAAAAAAAAAAACAAATAGTATCACATCAGTTAAAAAGCTTTTGCATAGCAAAAGAAACCACCAATAGAATAAAGAAAACCCACAGAGTGGGAAAAGACTTTTACCAGCTACTTCTCAGACAAAGAACTAGCATGTAGAATATACAAAGAAATTAAAGAAAAAAATCAGACCCCTCATATTTAAAGACCCAATCCAAAACTGGGCACCTGAAATGAAAACTTCTCAGATGAAGAAGTACAAAGAACAAATAAATATATGAAAAAATGTTCAACATCACTGGTCATTTGAGAGATGCAAAGTAAACCAACACTGAGATTCCATTTCAACCCAGACAGAGTGGCTACTTTCAAGAAGTCAACCGAGAACAAATGCTGGAGGGGCTGTGGGGAAGAAGGAACCCTTCTCCACTGTTGGTGGGAGTGTAAATGGGTATAACTACTATGGAAGTCAGAAGGAGATTCCCCAAAGAACTAAAGCTAGAGGTTCCATTTGACCCAGCTGTGCCCCTTCTACGTATCTTCCCAAATGAATGAAAAGCCTCATACCACAGTGATACATGCATACCCATGTTTATAGCAGCACAATGTACAATGGCTCCATCTTGGAAACAGCCTATACGCCCATCAACAGATAAATGGAAAAAGAAAATGTGCTCTTATCCACCACAATGCAGTACTAGTCTGCCATAAAAAAGATAAATTTGTCATTTCTAGGTAAATGTATTAATCTCAAGACTATAATTTTAATAAACTGAACTAATGATATAAAGGAACTAAGTCACACAAAAGAGGGGCTGGGGATTTAGCTCAGCGGCACAGCGCAAGGTCATGAGTTCGATTCCTGGTACCGGGAAAAAATAAATAAATAAATCACACACAAGTTTAAATATCACATTATTTCTCTTGTGTGAGAAACCCAAAAGGTAAATAAGGAGCAGAAGGGAGGACAGACTGGGAAGTAGGAAGAACATGTTCAAATGGGAAGGGGACAAGGGAGGAGGGGGGAGGGAGAAGGGATTTAAAAAAAAGAATGGAAGGGAAAAAACCAAACAAAGCTTTTGTAAATGGGAAGCAGATAAAGGGTTGAAGGGAAGGGAGGGGAATGGAGAAAAGAATTAAGACATGTACAGGTACAAAGTCTTTACGATGAAAATGATCATTATATATGGCAAAATGTACTAATAAAAATTTTAAAATTTAAAACCTACTTTAAAAATCACAGAAAAATAAACATTGTGATACTGTAGAGAAGATTTAATTAGGTTCTGATTTTTTTGCGTGTGTGGTACCTGGGATCGAACTCACGACCTCCCGCTTGCCAGGCAGGCGCTGTGCTGCTGAGTTATATCCCTGGCAGGTTCTGATTTTTTTAACAGGTCAAAAAAAATCTACACTGATGCTTTGGAATTTCTCAATAGAAAAAAAAAAAAAATGAAGGAATAAGAAATAAATGAGTTCTTTAAGATGAAAAATACACATGTGACCTGTTAAATTCTGGAGGCAGATTTTCTGAGAATTTCCTCTTAGAGTGAGGAACATTTTGAAAGCTATAAGCTGAAATATGATCTGCTGTGACTAAAAATTACTTTGCTATTTGGGACCCAACTCCATTGATGCTTAGAACAAAATGCATAGCTAAGAGTCTCTGGAAAGGCATTAGTGAAATGTGGAGAAAATATGAAATGGCTTCCATCACAGATGGTGCAAAAGCATAACCCAAGCCTACATCAAAGCATACAAGCCCCGCACCCACAGATCACGGTGCGACAGCGCCGGGCTTTACTTACCTTGGACCAGCAGCATGGGCTCCCTGCCCCCGCCGTGGGCCAGCACCTCCCTGCGATAGCGCTCTCCCGCAGCCCTGGGGAGAGCGAGACTGCGTTACACACCTGCTCCCACAGCCTGCGGCTGCATCCCCTCACGGTTCCCAAGGGGGCTACACCCCTGCACGTTCACCAGAGCTGCCACCCTGGGACCAGTGGGCCCTGGATTATTATTTCCTTGCTTCTAAAACTCTAATTTTGATTTGTAAGTGATTCTAAAATAATTAAAGCCAGGTGTGGTACACTCACTGTAAATGAGTAACTGTAATTTTGGCTTTCTGTGTTGTTAGCAAGGTGCCCCTTTGTGTAGCAAGGATTATCCAGTTAATGCACTATATTATAATTAATTGATGATATCCTATATTATAATTGATGATATCCTATATTATAATTATTGATGATTCCACGTAACTGAGATGGCAAATAACAGAATAACACTAAAATACCACTGAAGACTTTTTTTTTTTTTTGTTTTTCTCCGGTACTGGGAACCGAACTCACAACCTTGCGCTTGCCAGGCAGGCGCTTTGCCGCTGAGCTAAATCCCCAGCCCCCCACTGAAGACTTTTAATGGCACTTGGAAATCAGCTCTTTAATGATAATCTTTTATATTTTGTGGAAAATGCAATTCTTTCAATGTAACTGATGACATCTGTTCTATCAGTTTTGATACTGCTTCCACTAGCTCTGCAGACCTTGCTGTATAGGGAGTTTTGTGGACAGTCTCTTGTGGGACCTTTCGATAGCATTAGAGGATCAAAAGTGGCACCAAGGACCAGGGATAAAGCTCAGTGCATGGTGCTTGCCTGGCAAGCACAAGGTCCTAAGTTCGATCCCCCGTACCAAAAAAAGAAAGTGGCACCAAACGCAACCACGGTCATATCCCAAAGGGAGCACCACGGCACAGCAGGAAACCTGCACAGAGCCGGGCGCTCTCCGCAACCCCGCCCTGCCTTGCTGTACTCTGCACAGCCCGCTCCCCAGCAGAGGCGTGGGACCTCCTAGGCTAGCAGGCGCTTTTCCCGGTTACCTTCACAGGGCCACAGAAGTACAGCAACTACGTCCAGGCAGGAAGACACACACAACCAAGAGGTAAGTATTTGGAAATACTGTTTTAAATAGCGTGTGCTTTCCTAGCATAGTTCCTTCAAATAAGATGATATTTTGCCCCTTTTATAGAAACCTGGAGCAGAGAGACGCACTCCCTCAAACTGCTGCACTATAGTCCAGACTGGCTGTAGACCCTTTGAAAATAATAAAATCTGAGCAGCAGAGCAATCACGTGCAGTCTGCAAAGGGCAGAAGACAAAATAACACGTGGGTACCAAGCCGTAAAACATTTAAAATTCTATGACATTAGATCCAAGTTCCCAAGATTCTGGAGCTGAATGCGATTATTAACTGCTGAAAAAATCCCAATCTATGTCAAGCCACATGGAAAGCCAAACGGTGCGGAGGCGGGGGCCGGGACACCGAGCTGAGAGCAGGAGACCGACACGAGCGCCTGAGCGGAGTTTCGCAGCTTACCCTTACAAGCGGGACCAGTTCTGCCAGGCCGCTGCGAATGCCGGGTGCAAACGCCGGACACTAGAATCTATTTTAACCGTGTTACAGCACTGAAGACAACAGTCTTCTCCCTCAACTGCCTGCGAGGCGTTTGGAAATGTGTTTGCTTGGGCGCTGAGGAGATCAGATACTTTAAACAACTATGTATCAGATCACAACTGCTGGTTCGCTGTCAAAGACAGCGCCTTCTGAGGAATCTTGAGGACAACACGCGGCTTCCTCTCGGTGCCTGTTGCTAGAGAAGTCCTGTGAGGATGAGCGAAGGAGGCCAAATGGGGGCAGCAGCAGGGCCCTCGCACCCTCTCTGTCTGGCCTGAAGCCCCCCACCCTCTCCACCCAATGAAAATCTACCCAGCTTTACTGAGCGACCAGGGAAACAGGCCCGCCTGGGCCGGGTCCCCGTGCTCCCAGGCCCGCCCCACGCCCTCGGGTGTCTCTGCTCTGCGAAGTCGGGCATGATGACCGAAATGTCTCGTCCTGATCTCCTGATTGCATCACCGCAGGCTTACACTCACTGGCTATCCAAAGACACACGCCGGGAAGCGGGCCAGGGGGCATGCGCGATGTTTGCTTTCGGTGGAAAGTGGCGGACTCGGGCATCTAAACCACAGGTTATCCTGATGGAGGGTGAGTGCGGCGAGCTGCATGGAGCCTCTGAAGCCGGAGGCAAGGGCGAGGGCAGAGTGTGTGCAGGTCCTGTCAGAGGCCCGCAGGAAGGAACCGCAACCGGAAGCCCGCCCCTGTCTCCCTCGAGGCTCCCTCCCCAGCGAGGGCCAGTGAGCCAAACGCAGCGAGAAAGGTCATTTCTGGGACAAAGTGGGTGCAGACACCAGCAAGGCGCATCTGCAACAGCGCTGCTCCCAAGTGGAAAGCGTGTCCACGCAGGCGGACAGAGGCCTGCGCCCCAGGCAGGGAGCCTGTCCAGCTGGCAGGAAGCATGGCGGGCAGGCGCGCGTGAGGACAGCAGCAACTGGAGACGGGCAGCACCACGCCGCGGCGCGGGAAAGCAGTGCAGGCCCCGAGTGCAGAAGCAGCGGCGCCTCCCACGCCGGCCCATCAGGGGTCCTCCAGTGCGGCCCCCGCGGGCCACAGAGCTGCGGGCGAGGCCGGAGTTTGGGGCCTCGGTCTGCTGTGGTGCCTCTACTTCCTGCCAGCGTGGCTGGGCTCTGGGCCCTGACTTTGGGTGTGGAGGGGTGGCGGTCACTGCGATGAAGGAGGGGAGATTCTGTGAACTAGCCCTGCCCTTCTTACCTGTTAAAAGGGTCCGGTAGGAAACACTCCTTCCAAACCATGGACGCCACGGCCCTGGACATCAGGTAAGAGTAGTATTTGGCTCCGTAGCCCACCAGGTGGCTGAATCTCAGCTGCCAGGCCTGCCAGAAAGAGCAGGGGAAAGGGTTGGAGCTCTGTACCGAGCCCGAGAATGCCACACAGAGAACACAGCAGAGCACACGAGGAAAGCTGCGAGCGTCTCCATGAAATTTCACTCTAGGTGGCCAGGCCACTGACACTATTACTGCTCTCACATTTTGTACGCTGAGATGGGCTGAACGGGGTCTCCCTACCAGTCCCAGGTGGAGGTCTTACGCCAGCACCTGAGAACGTGGCTGCATTTGGCAACAGGGACTTTAAAGAGATGACTAAGTTAAAGTACGGCTGGTGTCCTCTGAAAAAGAGGACATCTGGACACACAGAGACCAGGGGATGTGTGCAGAGGCCATGTGAGGACACAGAGAACCGACCGTCTGTAACCCAGACCGAGGCCTCAGGAGGAACCAACCTCCCAACACCTTGATCTTGGACTTCCAGCCTCTAGAATTGTGACACAACAAATTTGTTTAAGCCAAAAAGCCTGGGGCACTTTGTTATAACAGTTCTAGCAGACTAACGGGCACCCAAACAAAATTTTGTACCATATAAATATAATCTGCATATATATATATACACACATATATATAATACACACACACACACACACACACACACACACACGTGGTTACTCTTGAGTTTAATTAGTTATCTTGACTTTTTGTAGATGACAGGACCTTCAGAAGATGCCACAAGCTTACTTATTTTTAACATTGGGTTAGTTCACAAAGTTTTACTCTGCAGTGACTATTTGCTGCAAAAACTCCATTTTTATGGTCTGGCTTTGTAAAGCTTAAAACCTTCCATGTTTTACCCTGTTTATACTTTATAATGAAGCAAAAAGGCACAGGAGAAAATGGGATACAACTGGAAAGTCACAGCTACGTAAGACAGAGAGTCTGGGAATGCCTTTTTTACAAGAACAAAGGCCGGGAACCGCAGTTAAGCAGCAGCCGCGGCAGCTCTCAGTGCGCAAACCGGCCGGCTTCCTGCCTCCTCCGAGAGGGTTCAGCTCATTTTCGAATCGTAACAGTGAATTACTCTGTCTGAGGTCATCCTTTGGGGCGTGCATCTGGGACAGAAACATAAAGAGCAGCCCGGAAGGTGGCAGGAGGGGGGACAGAGCAGGGCGACCCTCCCCTGGCTCGTAGGCAGCTGGAGACACCCGGCCGCGGACATCAGGAGGGGCATCTGGAGACAGCATCCGTTCTTTCTGAGCGCAGGGCTGCAGTTGTAAGAAAGGCCACGCGGGTTTTCACAGGACAACACTGTCCCAGCGGAAGCTTCTTTTCCTAAAAATATGGTTCTTTCTCTGAAACTAGACCCTGCACACGTCCACACTTTGTAGGCCAGCAGAAGGCAGGTCATGCAGGCACAAATGCATGAGCGTGTGGTGACGAACTCTTTATCACATGGCACCAGCAGAGGCGTGAAGGACGCAATTACAATCTTATAATTGGTACTTTTCTGAAATAAATCTGACAGTGCAGCCACCCACTTTTTCCAAACATATGCTTTATCTGGCATTAAATTTTTTTTTGAAAAAGGAAGTTTTCTGAACAATAACCATTCTGTAACAGGTTTTACAACTTCCTAGGGAAAAATATAAGTAAGATATCGTTCTTAGTACAACTCTATGAACTAGATAGGCAAATTCTAGCTAGTTTATCAAGGGACTAAGAGGGGCCCGGCCCTGGAAATGTGGCACTCACTGCCCCTGCCCACCCAGCCCTCGAGGCGTGGAAGCTGAGAGAGGCAGGCCTTTCACCCAGTTTGGACGCAAATGGTATTCAAAACCATCTATGGTCAAATTCTCACACAGAAAATGCTGACTATATTTTTAGTTTATAGTGTATGTACAGTTCTGTGTAATCTGTCTTACTTTAAGAGGAGATCTTAATGTTCTTATTTTATGCTGGACTCTTAACATACTAAAATGCTGCTTTGAATGTGTGGCCCACTGGTGATCTCTCTCGTGGAGTGATCTGGATATGCTGATACCTTTGGTTGCAGAATACGGCTGCTATTTGTATTTGATACCTTACCAAGACCCTGGCTGCTGCTACGGATAACATAAGCATCTCTCAAAGCGGAAGCCCCAGGATAAATAGCAGGGGTCTGGCCTTTGAGACTCTTTCTTCTTGGTGATCTTCCAGAACATGTTTGGCAGCCTTAGCATGCAGGGCAGAGTCTAATTCTGTTTAGATTTGACCTGAACGTAGTTTTGTTTTACCGTGCGAGCAGGCCTCCTTCAGCAGTGGTTTGACTTCAGCTAAGAAATATCTACGTTCTCAGTTTTTCATTAACTCATCACCGAAATCCCCCATAATCAGCACAATAAAAAATAAGACCCTTCAGAGCTGAAAAGAGACATCAGGATTTGTGCAATATGCCGTCACCTCAGCTGCTAGTCTGCCTGCCCTGCAGGACCAGCCCTACCTGGACACAGCCGCGCTCGCTGTGTCTTGCTCCTTAATTACAGGTTTCAGTTTGGTCCTACACCCTTCCCATACCTCAAGACATGCGCAAGAAATTATACTCACCTGACACCTTTCATCAGAGGTTTGTAAGGTTATAACTGACCAAGACCTACAATTCTGCTGTTGTAGGAACACAATTGCTGAGTTCCTGCTAACTGAACCCAATATTAAGTCCTTGTTTCCATTTCACTCATTCATCTGGAAAAGCGAAGACAGCATTTCATGCTGGGTTCTAGAATGACGCCCCATTCTTCCTTTCAAGTCACAGGTTTCTTCTTCTGAGAAGTATTTGTCAGTGGGACAATGTTTTCCACACTCCTTTGATATTTCATGTACGGGTCTAGTTTCAAAAACAAACAATGCCCCGGGTGTGGGGGCGCTCGCCTGTAACCCCAGCACTCAGGAGGCTGATGCGGGAGGATCATTGTGAGTTTGAGACCAGCGTGGGCTACAAAGTGAACTCAAGGCCAGCCTGAACTGCACAGTGAGACTCTGTCTCAAAAAGCCAAAAAAAAAAAAAAAACCAAAACAACACAAATGCCTCTGCAATCTCCCTTATACTGTATCTAAAGCTATAGACTTTCAAATCCTAACACTGTCCCAAGGCACAGCTTCTCTTTTCTCTTTAAAGACTGATGACTAAATCTGGGCTTCTACACTGTGCTACACCACCAATCCTTTTTTATTTTGAGGGAGGATCTTGCTAAGTTGCTAAGTTGCCCAGGCTGGACTCAAACTTGTGATTCTTCTGCCTCAGCCTCCCAGGGGGCTGGGAATCCAGGCCAGTGTCGCCACCCTGCGCTAAAGCGCGGCTCTTCAAACTGTGTCGGGTTAGATAATCTCAGGAATCCCATATGAAAGCCAGAGAAATGCAGGCAGAGAGGAGTGTCAGGAGCCCTGCGGGTTCTGTTTCCTGCCTTAGAACTCAGAGGAGGCCCTCGGAGGGTTATGTGCCTATCACCTTCTCTAACTCCACCATCATCCCGGAATGGGAGAGCAGCACTGTTGTTTACTTAGCGACTTCCCTTTCCCATCAGAGGAAGCACTCACGAGCCACACTAGTGCTGAATGCTGGACGAGCCGTTTCTCTGTTGTACGGGGCACGGTTTCTGCATTTCCAGTGAGATGTGTATAAAGATGGACCTGACGTGTACGTCAGTAGCTCCTACCACGGGAACACTACAAACTGCATGAGAACAGAAACGAGACCCACTGCTTTCTTGGTATGTGTCATTCTGAACTGACATTTTCTGAGCGTCATGAGCCACATGCTATGTATAGGTTTAGACACAGCACAGGCTCTGCTGGAGTCCAGCATGAATTCAATAGCGCTCTGCTGGCCATGCGCCTAGACAGACGGGTGGATGGACAGACACTGTGGGACCTTTTCACAGTAATGCTCCAAGTTATGACAGATACAGACATCTGACCCAGATGAGGAGCTCAGGAGTTACATTAGTGTCACAGCAAGAGGATTCTACAGTGCTAAAAACATACTGGATCTCAGACTATTAATGATTTTTTTAAAAAACATTTCTTTGGCTATATTACTTGATAGGTGTAAGCCTTCTGAGGCTAACTTTGGCACGAGACCTTCATGGAGACAATCTCAGTTGTGCCTCCTTGAATGTGACCTCAGGCTCCCTTAGGCCTCGGAGACCGTGCCAGGCCGGGCCACTGCTCACGCGCCTACCTGCTGTGATCAGGACCAGAACAGAAGACAGGAGGCAGCCCGGACGGACAGCTGACTCCTCAGTCTCCCTGCGCTGCATTCCACGTGGAGTATCTCCTACGACCCTGAGTCACGGGCACCTAGTGGTTTCTGTCTGCTGCCTAGAGAGCAGAGGGAGAAAGTCACTTACTCTGCCACGTTCTTAACTCTTTCCCCTAATGCATGCGTGCGTATGTGTGTCTGTCTGCCTGTCTTTATTTCTAGGAATTCATCCTCTAGTATTTCAAATTACTACGAAGTACCTACTGACAGTTTACCAAAATCTGTGAAACAACAGTGCCAAATAAACAGGAATTCTTGCTGTGGGACATAAGAGTGATGTTAGGTGAGACACGCAGCATTATGGCAGACACACTCGTAGGTGGTTTTCATGGTCTGTCCTCCTGGCAGTCATGCTGGTGAAATTCCCTCCACATACAGACAGGCTCCGTTCCCCACTCCCAACCAACAGAATATGGCAGTGGAAGAAGCCTCCCCTCAATCCTGTAACCACGAGGAAATGGGTTCCATCAGCAACCTGGGAGAAGCAGTCAAGCCGCCAGATGAGACCACAGCCCAGAACACACTGCCAGCTGGTGAGACCCTAAAGCAGAGGAAGCAGCTAAGAGTGCAGACTCCCGCCCCAGACACTGGCGACGTGCATGCTTTGACACCACTGTTTGTAGTAATTGGTTACCCAGCAACAGAAAACTAATTTCCTTATCTCTTGGTAAGAGCTGTGCTCAGAAACAGTGTAAGAGAAATAAACCCCGGAGAATATGGGAGGAATACCTGTTTTTCTTAAAGGTATGCC